GAACAAAAGCAGCATGAATAGCCGGGGTTGATTCCGCCGGCTTGATTGACAAAACCCTGCCAATTGTGTTAGCGTGTCAGTGTGTGCTTTCCACCAGCGTCATCCTAAAGGCAAGAGAGGCTGTTGTCGTGGAAAAAACAAACTCTGACCTTCAGTGTTGTCACACCAGTACTCTGTAGCTAAAATTAGGTTAGGACTACCCCGTTTGTGAGGAGCAAAGAGAAATGAAATATCTCACTGTGGGAAGTGGAGTTTATTGCACATAGATGTTTAAACCCAGCCAAATTCTACTCACTCCACAACAAGTGTGGCCCTTTATGTTATGTGACAAAGGGATTGGTGCATGTATGTAGATTATATTTTATGTTAAGGTTTTTTATTTATTTTAGTTATATAAAGTTGCTATTTATTCTAGTTTTATTCTTATAGTTAACACAAGGTTGTAAAATGAAATGAAAGTTTGTAGTCCCTTTATGTAGTCCCGCGGTGCGCGCTGTAATTAGTTGATAGGCACCTGTTGGTGAGCCGTGGGTGTGTTGGCACGCTGCGTGTCCGTAAAGACAGCCCGGGGTCAGGGCGGCGTCTGGTTGCAGCGTAGCAGGTGGCGACCGCGGTTATGAGGAGAGCCCCATGAACCCGTTAGGAGTAGGCTAACTTAGTCGGGGAAACCCAGGTAGGGATCAGCTGCGTAGTTGGTGGGATTTGAACATGTTTTCTATTATCTTTTATACATACATGTGTACAAAATAATACAAATGCAAAAGCTGTATAGAGTTATGTTTTGTTTAGTTCGGGTTGCAGGTAGTGAGTCACTGCACTGGTGGTTTTCTTCTCCTTGTTTTGTTCTGTTCTGATGGTCTGGCTTAGTGCTCATCCTGCTGTGGGATAAACTTGCTGCTTGCCCATTGATTGTGAGCTCCCCTCGCGCTGGGTTAACGTGTCTGCTGGTCATTATCTTTACTGCATGTCAGCTAGTGTATTTTATGGGCTCATTGATCTCAGCCAACCTGTTTCTTTGTGCTTCACATTGTTTTAATATCTATTTTTTGATTGCTAAATGTTTAGATTTTAATATAACTGCTTTCCAGTCATACTTGCCTCCAGGGTGGTGGGGACCTGTTGTTTGTGGCTCCAAGGGGGGCCTCCACTATCTTCTAATTTGTATTTCACCTCCATTTATTTTATTTCACCTATTTAACCAAGAATGATAGAGCTGGAGACTGATGTAATGAATTTCTTGGGACGACTGGGTAGTAGGATTAGGGTAGTTTAGCTCTTAGGGTTTTCTGTATGTATGTAGGTCAGTAATTATACTGCATGTGCTTCATTTATTTGTAGTATTTACAGTGTATGTATATGTATATGTAGACAATGTGTTAATACTTCAAATATTTGCTTAGTGTTTGGGCCCCTATGTACAAGCTTCAGATAGCTTAAAAAAGTAAATCTGCATTATTTCTAATGATTGTACTTGCATTTTAATGTTTTGTGAAAAAACTAACCTGGACTGAACTAAACTAAACTGACCTTGGCATCATGCAGCGACAAAGACTAAAACTTAAACTAATAAAAACTAAACTGAAACTAAGCATTGTTAAGAAATAAAAAAATAAACTAAACCAGCAAACAAAACAAAAAGTCAAAACAAAATAAAAATAAAAACTAATGAAAAAACCCAAACTAGGTGTGGATCCATTGATGTGTTTTTAATAGTTTTTTGACAACAATGGACCTCTGTGGCACAATTGAAGAAGATATATCAGGCTTTGGAAACACACAATACTTGTTAGTAGGATACATTCATTGTTGGTCTTATTAAGCTTGGTGTATTGTAGATGTGTGAATTTCAACAGCAACAGTATTACACACTACATATATTTCATCACGACATACAGTATATAACGTGAAGTGATCTTAAAAGTGTGCAGTAATGTAGTGGATATTTAGATTATATTTGCATATTTACTTTAATCAGTCTGTTTCATTCTATCAACACAATGTGGGCTGGATTTACTAACACCCCGAATAAAGAGTACTAAGTTGCGTGTACATTGTAGAACCTGTTATGGGTGATTAACTAAGAATTATTGCGTAGATGACAACAGGTGCAAACACAATGGAGGTGGCAGTATTTAAATATGGGTTTTACGTGTTTTAATGGTTTCCGCCATGGAGAGTCGGGAGGGAAAGCAGCCACTGCGTAAAAACCTTGGTTTGTTTCATTCAGTCTGTCCAGAGTATGTGGAAATTGTATGTACCTGCCCATCCTGCCTAAGATTGCACTAAGTACTAGCAGAAACAGCTAAAGAATGCTGGAATGACCAGGACAGGGTGCGAACTACGGGGGAGCCAGGCAGAATAAGACTTGAGCTCCCCTAAAAACATGAATTGTGAAATTTTGGGGAGTCTCTAAGATATTGACAGTATTTCCATATTTCTGTATCATCATGGATCATGTGTAAAATCAGCTTCTTCACCCAGCTACAGGGAACGATCACCGACCGTCCGCACCGTGTCCAGTAGCTCCGAATAAATAAAATAAAATAAAATACTTTTTTTCCCATTGGATATAGAATAACTTTTATTATTTTTAATCTTCTTTCATTATGCCTGTATCTCCTTACAACGATAACAGCAGCCATCTCTGCGCAACACGGTTTGCACCTTCCTTTCATATATCAACATATTAAATACAGATGCTGTTGCACTCACATGAAATTGCTTGTAGGCTTGGTAAATCACATTGCGTGTAGTAAATAAATGTATTTGCACGTTACCCTCCCATTACTTTTCACAATAAAATTGAAACGCCCCAGATTTCATATTCTTTAAGGAAAAAGTACTAAATGAACAACAAGTGCTATCTTGCACTTTTGAAAGACGTCATTCTGTGTGCACACTGTTAGTAGATCAGCTTAAGTGTTAATTTGCTGGTGTTATCAAGTTTGCACACGTTTTTACTCACGCAAACTTTTAGTAAATCTGGCCCTATGTGTTTTGTGTTTCCCCGTGTCAGAGATGAGATACCTTCTCTTGAGGACAAACCTCTGTTAACCACTCTGGAAAGTGTCTGTGACCATTCCTGTTATCCATCAGTCCTGCCTCTATTTTAAGCCTCACATTATTCACGTCTTTGTTTCACTCTGTAAAGTGGAGGCACTCTCCGCTCTACATGCAGCTAATAAGTGGGAGAATGAAATTAGACCTTTTCTGAGCCTCTCTTTCATCCAGGGTCGCTTTTATACTATTAAAACGGGCCAAAATTGCCCTTTTGGTTGTTAAACCGTCTTTAGTGTTGCCGTGATCAGAATACAGATATAAATGTAGATGTAGATATACATAATATAGTGTGTTCTGGTCCTATGGCTTTTTCTTCTTGACAGTCCAGTGCCTGTCATGTCATAGAATCATGAGCTGTCAGATTTTAAACTTGAGTGAATTAAAGGCAGTCTCACTAAAACATGATGGTCCACATAGCCCTTCATCAGATTAAATGTGTTTCACCTCTTTATCTCCCCTCACTTTGAAAGGTTTGTTTCACAAAATTAGTGGTACTAGTAAGGCTGTTGCTTTTTCACAAGCAAAGTTGTAACTAAATTGAAGTAACATGTAATTTGTTTAAATTAAATCAAATCCAAGCCATGCAGTCTTAAAACACATTGGAGAATTAAAGTTCTCTTCATCTAGTTGCCTCCGCTGCCTTGATAGAGTGACAAGCTAATGTTACTACTGTACAAGGCAGTAAGTTAGCATTTTATTTAAGTCATCAGTGAATATGAAGTCAAACAAACTTTATCCATGGTTTTCCATCTATAGTGCTGTGTCCTGAATGCTTCCACACATTATGTCAGATGTTTTGGTCACTAAGTTTTTTTCCATTTTGCATTGGTGTATAGGACATCAATATGCTAGTTTTCTGCTGTTATGAAGAGTGCATTTGGTATATGTTGCAGTGAAAACAGTGTGTAGCGGTTGACTGGTTGAAGTAGCTTGCAAGCAACGCTTCATTAACTAGGTCATTTCTGCTGATTTTAAATGTAATTTAAAAATTTGAATTTATCTCCATTATATTAAAGTACAGAGATCCTGCTGTAGACGCAGAAACTCTGACATGCCAGCTGTGGCTTTTGGCATAATCCTTCCGTAAAATAAAGCAGTGTGAAAGCTGCTATGTAAACCGGCATTAGCCGGCGAGCTAACAGTCAGCCTTTCTGATGTTCACTGTGTTTTTACCCAACATCAGAAAGCTAGAACTTTATAAAACTCTTACAACTCCGACAACCACATTACGCATATCAACTATATTTTGTAGAAACCTGCATGGTGACGATAGAGAAGACAACAATCAATACACACATATCCTGTGTTGTCTCAGTGAGAAGTACAGTACTTACTGTATTGGAATCCTGAAAAGAATGAGAAAGAAAAAGTTAATTGGGGAATCTTATCTCGGAGAATATAAGCCCCATGCCCGCGAGCCTACCCTGCCCTCGCTGTTGCAGAGCGCAGCGGCTCACATTGTACTGTAGCTTATTTAAAGTTGATTAATGTGACACTGCACTCCGTTGGGTCCACAGCAACACCCCCGCCACGTGTGAGGTTGATTGGATGAGCGGTTCTTGACGTAATCGAAATACAAACAGACAGAGATTTCTGCCTTCATTAGAGAGATGATGGAGGTAGATATCTTAGAGAGAGACAGCCCAAGAAAGGAAGTTCATACCAACTGCAGTGCTATGCACTGGGAGTGTCACTTTTTAGTTTAAATATGAGCTCATTTTAAACATGGGGCAAAGTGTTCAGTATTCATTGATCTGTTGAGACAAATGAGGCAAATCAAAACAAAATGTTCTGCAAGTTTTAGGTGAGCCAGCCATTTAAGATTGTTCCTCTACCTGTTTCTACATCTTGCATTGTTGTCTTGAAAAAAGTAAATAATTCCAGCACATACAAATATAACCTTTTAGCAGCTTCAGCCTAACCTGTGTCTACTTTCCTAGCGGACATCTCCAGCATGTGTGATGTGGACGTGTCCTCTGAGCCCACCAGTCCCACCCTGTATGGTGAGTCTTCTGACAAGTACTACCATGTGGACCGGTGGCAGAAGCTCCGCACCGCCGTACGCAAACTGGAGTTCTGGGAAAACTTTACAGCTGAGCTTATTGGGAGTGGCTTCTTCTCCAAAGTCTATAAGGTATTGCTTTTGTCCTCCCCCTTCTTTGCCTTGTTGCTGGCCTACGTGTGAGCTGCATTCAAAGGTTGCTTTGTTGCAGCCACTAATTGGGACATTCTTGTCATTCCGTGATTGGCCCACCAGCTTTGGAGACCATGGAGGCGTAATACTCATCCTCAGCTGAGACCTTACATAACTCCTAATGTGACATCAGGGCTGGAGTGGAGCTACAGGAAGAGCTGATTTTCATATATTTAGGCTTTGTCCCTGATGAAATGAGGTAGAAAGAGGCCACAGGATGGATGAGGGATTGTGGATGTCAGAGCTTTGATGTGTCGACACTGAGTGAGATTGAGAAAGTTAGCTTTAGCTCTCTGATTTTGGACTGATGTTCAAATTTAATCAACATAGGAAACCCAAACAGTTTATTGATTACCTAAAAACGCTTTCAGAAGAAAAAAACTGTCACATTGTCTCCATCGGTTTGCCTCCCCATCACTACTGATACAACTACCACTGCTATTACTGCTTCTACCTCCACTGTTTCTGCTACTAACGGACACCAACGTTCTTCAGGTGATGCACAGCACCACTCGGAAGGTGATGGTGGTGAAGATCTACAAAAACGACGTGGACCAAGACAGCATCGTACGAGAGATCAGCCTGCTGCAGAAACTCTCCCACCCCAACATCGTCAGGTGACAGTCCACTCATGTCCCACTTCTTACTGAAATCTCTGTGGTTGCTCCAATGGGTTAAATTCTACCAAAGCAAAAGAAGCTGCATGAGGATTGCCCTCACAACACATTCAGTCTCTCTTCTCCGTCTGTACAGACTCCACACCCTCCCACACATCACATTCACACTTTAACGCCCCCCCTCCCCTACATCTCATCTCAACTTCACAATCTGTGGTTTGCTATGGCTACCATAGTTATAGAGAGTTTATTGGAAATACCTTTTTAACATACTATTACTTACTTATACTATATTATGTTGATAATGACTGAAACAAGACTTTAAAGTGCACATTCATCTAAATCCGTGCAACACTTTGAATTGTGATCAGTGTTTAAAAGATGAAAATATGCATTATGGACAATATAAATCCTAAATTCCTTTCCGTAATATTTCAAAATCTATTAGCAGACTCCTAAACTTTTTTGAGATGTGTAATCCATCACAGTCAACATTAAGTCTATATGGATTTTTGTCCATATAGACAACTGTTTTTAATCCATGTAGTAACATTATTGCTGCACAGTGATGCATCACTGCTGGACTCCATGGCTGCTGACACTATGGCATGTCAGGACAGACTTGACTCTGATGGATTGTACAACTAATGCAAGTTTCAAGAGCCATTTGATTTTCATGCCTCGTGAAAAATGATAACCTTTCAAAGCTCATAGTAGAGAACCCGATAATAACCATTTGTGCACCAAATACATTGAGAACCGACAGACAACGATGGTTATATTTAATTGATTTAATCAAAGTCACTGCTAGGGGCAATTCAGTAGTCTCTGGGTATTGTTATGGACATGCCTCTACTAAATTCTTTGGCCTCGTATAGTGAACATGTCAGAAGCACTTGCTTATTTACACGTCCAGCAGACACAGAGCAGCATTAGCATTCACTTGGAGTCATGTTTGTCCACCTGATCAAATAAGTCCAATACTCTCTATCATTTTAACTGTGTTTTAGTCTTCACCAACTCCTGAGTAAAGTATCATCACTACGTCTTTAGTCATTTGATCCATTGTTTGTATAAAACCTTTGATTAGAGAAACTTGAAAAATTCCATAAAAAATGTGTGTGTGTGTGTGTGTGTAGTGCAACCAAAAACTCATATAACTTGCCCGTACAGTATTGCTTACTATATTTAACATGACTCAAGCACAGCCTGACTGTGGCTGACAGTAAGAGCTGCAGCTGCAGTCAACACAAATGAAATGAAGTCTTGGTGCTATTTAACACTGACCCTGTCAGCTACAGCAGTTACATAAGGTGTGAGGCCAGGCAGACATAATGTTTGCCTAAGCAATCTTATTTTAGTCATTTAGCAAGGTCGCAGCGGTAAGGTTATCAGAGTGCAGCTTATCTGCTTAAAGTACAGCAGGCTGTGATGAAAGCAAGGTTCATACTGTTAGTACCTGGTACACACCAAACAGAGTGACCAGCTGTTTTAGGAAATTACCAAGCCTTTTTTTTAAATTGCATCTTCGTAACCAGTTTTTAAAGTTTTTCAGTGCTAGATGAAAAGTGAAGGTATTACCAAAAATTCATCCTGAGCACATGAAACATCAAAGTCATCAAATTTCATGGCAATCCATCAAGTAGTAGTTGAAATTAATTAAATATAGAGACTATATAATTATACATGATAGATTTACTTTGGGAACTAAACTAATAAGGAAATTGTAATAAACATATTTCCTCTTATTCTAGATATCTGGGAATATGTGTCAAAGAAGACAAACTCTATCCGATCTTAGAGGTGAGTCCCATTATTTCTTTCTTTTTTTTTGCACATTGTGAGTCATCGTTACTGTGTATGTTCACAGGCTGGCTTCCTTCTGCGTGTGGAAAAACACAACAAATTGCACTGATATGAGTTGATAATGAAATGGTGAGCGAGTTAAATCAGGCGTTTATTGTGTAACCAGACTGGATTTCATTGTTTCAGAGTAATGTCAGACTGCATTTGAGAGGAATTATACTTTCACATAATCTAACATTATCGTATTGTTCACCTGTATGAACTTCAAATTAGCATATGAAATTACTACAGCAAATGCATTGCTACTATTTTACTTCTAAATTTGAATGAATCTATATATTTGTTCTCATTTTATGAGTCTTTCATTTTGACACTATATCTCGTACACTGTATATGTTGGCTGTTTCAGTATGTAAATGGTGGATGTCTGGAGGAGCTTCTGGTCAGGAAAGACGTTCCCCTGTGCTGGAGAGAGAAGGTGGACCTGGCCTGTGATATAAGCAGAGGAATGATCTACCTGCACTACAAGAACATTTACCACAGAGACCTCAACTCAAAGGTAAGACCCTCCATCTGTGCCCCACCCTGCCCTGTTATTTAGCTGCTGCAACAGTTCTGTGTGTCCACAGGGATTTTCCAGCTGCTATCACCAGGGTGCGATTTGCCGGGTTGGATGCGTGGGATTTCCCCCTTTCTGGTTTATATATCCCTGCCTCTGCTGAATAATTTTTATCCCAAAATTTATTCAATGCTATATATCAATGCTACTTCTCTAGTGATGCAAATGATCACAAAACTCGGATTGATCCGTGGTTTTGTTAGGGTTACATTTATTTTAAAATGCGCTTCATTAGCTCTGACCCAGCTGGCTCTCTCTGTCTGTTGGTAATCACCACTGTGTCTTGCTTAATCTCACACCCACGGAACTATCTGATTGGTTAGAAGTCTAGAACAATAGCCTATCAACAGTCACGAGACATTTGCTCCGGTGAGCAGCGGAGCTGTGTGTCGAAGGGAAGGCTGCAGATAGAAAGACTAAAGCTGCAATGAACATCACAATCTGATGATCTGTTTCTTTGATGACGAACAGCCCAGTGTCCCTGTTACACCAGTGCACATGCCCGAACAAACAGCTACGGGGTTTCACAAAGTGACAATCTTGAAAGTGACGCCATTTAAATCAGTCGCTCTTCCCTCACCCACTCACTGCACCTCAGAGTTAAACACAGTTTGCATCTGTCTTTTCTATCTTTTCACTGCAACTATGCATCACAATATCACGTTATGTATTTACTACTTTAATAATTAACAATGGAAGAAGTGTTCTTTTTCTATAAATAACTTAGATAAACTTTGCAATCAATCCACAGTTCACCTGCGGGTGCGGCGAGGCGCACCCTGGCTATCACAGCTACCCCTGCAGAGACCTCACAGGAGATGCACTGTTAGTTAATACTTGTACGCCATAGCTCAACAGCTAAAATATCAGGGTCATAGTCAAAGAACTTCTTAGAGCTAAAATTCCCAAAACAAAGTGCACCATCAGAACCTTTACTCATCTGTGGTGTCCGGCCGGACCTTTGTTGCATGTCATTCCCATTCATCTCTTTCTCACCGCATTTCTTGTCATCTCTCTTCTGTCACTATCTAACTATCGAATAAATGCATAAAAATACCCACCCAAAAAATAATAAAAATAATCCAGTGGAGTCATGTCATATGTTATGATATTAATTCCCTTTTTTTTTTAGCATTTCCTTGTCGATAAAATTTTTAAAGTTTGTTTTATTTACAATATTAGGTTTTGATCAAGTTTATAACATCTTGAGACCTTTTATGGCAGACACACAGCAAATAATAAACATTAAAATTAAGAGTGAATATTTAAATGTAAATGAAAAATAAATAAAAAGAATAGGAAAATATGATTGATATGATAAACATAATTACATTATAGTATCACTTTGATAATAAATTAAACAGTCAATTACATAATATTTAGTTAGCATAACATTTCAAATATTTATTTCATGTATCCATATGCATATACATATACTCTGTGTAACTTGATGCCCAAGACGAATGACTGTGATTTCTTGATCCGAGATAGTTAGAGGGTGCCATTATGCTAATGATAGCTTTATCAGGATTTGGGTGCAAAATGTAGCTACTCAACATGTGAAGACCCATATGAGGTAGGAGCAAGCTAAAAAAATAAGTAAGTCATCAATAAGTCAGTAAATTTAACTTAAATACAGTTTTTGTGGTGCCCTGCATGAGGTGACAGATAAAGAAATTAAGCAGAGCACTTTGGGCACTGAATCACAAACCCGATTTTATGTATCAAAGTCTCTTTACAGTTGTTGGGTTGTATTCATAGACTGTATATAAGAAGTGGACGTAGTCATCGTCGTCACCCGTTGGTTTGTGGACTTCCGTTTTGAAGCCGATAGGGCGCCGCCATGTTGAGTTTTTGCCACAAGCCGCACCGGATGTGAACAACAGGCTTAAAACTAAATTTACTCACCAGAGAAAGTGAACAGCCAACTCCTAATAAGCTTTTTCAATGCTGCTGGTTAAATTTACACAGTGAGTCACTCTAGCCTGATTGACAGGTCGCCATGGTAACAACTTGTCAATCCTAGATAATCCCGCCCTGAAGCATACTCTGCTTTCTGGTCTATTTTTTTCTAAATGGGACCATAATTTTCTAAATGAACATCATGCTGTGTTGAAGAAAGCTTGAAACTGAGAGCATAAACTCATTAGGAAAGTGTTTACTGAGGTAATAAATCAGCTGAGAAGTAGGGTCTGCAGCTCTATATTCCCTTCCACTTAAAGGTCCAGCGTGTAATATTTAGGAGGATCTATTGACAGAAATACAATATAATATCCATAACTATGTTTTCAGTGGTGTATAAAGATCTTATATAATGAGCCGTTATGTTTTTATTATGTTTAGAATCTACATATTATTATATATGTATTATCTACATATACCGCGGGTCCTCTTATATGGACGTCGCCATGTTGCACTGCCATGTTTCTACAGTAGCCTGTTGGAATAATTAGAATCTTTTTTTTCCTTAAATCTTTATTGCAAAAAGAGAAATAAAGTGTACATGGGACATGAAGACGTATACAGAACTTTGATTCATGCAAAATCACATATTGTATATACATATTTTTCAAACATGTCATTTGTAGTATGGTCCATGTAGCGTGAATTAGATATCTGTGTGTTGTTTATACGCTTTGATAATGCTAATCCAACACATCTTTGTAGTAGCGTCCATGTTGATTCGACATTCTGACTTAAGAGCACATGAACACACACTGAAGTCAGAAGAATGACTTCACAACACGGGAAATTAGACCATCCAAGGAGCATCTGAATGTACCGTGAGCCTCTGGCTGCAATTTGAAACCCTCAACACTAGATGCCACTAAAACGTACACACTGAAACTTTAAGATAAATGCCATAAATGGCAGATCTAAAACATCACATCCAGATGTAAAGCAACCTCACCTGTTTTTTGCATCTGCATACATGCTGAGTACATGCAGAGTTTATGTAGAAGGTAGAAGGTAGGTTTATTTGTCACATTACAACAGGTTGTAAAGTGAAATTAAGTTTGTAACTCCCTTCTGCTACATAGCAGACAATATACAGTTATACAAAAGCAGCCATAAATGGTAGACAGAAATAAACTGTATTCAGCAGAGCAATGCTGAGGAGGAATTTGAGTTTAGAAGTGTGGTAAACATAGACTTAGAAATCCACAAGGCCCAAGAGAAGAAAAAACAGGTCTCTGGCCTGAGTCCCTCCCAGGACATGTTTTTTCCCCCACAAATGTAATTTGCGGTTTGTTTTTAGTCCCCAAATTCTTTGGGCTTGTCCCATAATAAAATCAAATGAGTGCCAGAGTGTACACAGTCAAATTAGACAAAGTGTATTAGACAAAGAAAAAGTATTACACTTCTCTACAGCAACACAGTTACCTGATACAGGGTGTATGGGTGTGGTAAACCTCAACCATCAGACAAAATAAATTGGTGATGTCAAAAGTCCAATACACATTATTATATTTTATGTTTATGATTCCTTTTTTCATGATGAAACTGTTTGTTCCACCTTCCTTCATGTAATTATAACTGCCCCTTAACTTATATGTAATTTGTTCCTGGTTTAAATTTTCCTCATTATTTCTTACCATAACCTCAATTTAGTTTTAAACCTGCAGTGCATAACTTTTGTTTCCACTTAAGGCAGTGAGAGTTTGAGAAAACATTGTCTCTGTTTTTCCACCATACTCCTAGCTGCTGACATAACCTACTATGTCACTCTGGTTGAATTCAAGTGGATTTATTGGCAAGGGTGCAAACAATACAACATTGCCAAAGCATATCAACATAAACTATACAATCGTAATAAACAACTAACAGTTTTCAATAGTAAACATTCTCTCCCATGGACCTCGCAATGATGGATTGCGGAGCTCTCTACATTTTGTTCCACCTTCAGTTCTGGAAAACCAGTCATTGCTGGTTGACTTAAAATGCATCACTACCGCACAAGAGTGGGAATGTTGCTACAGACGCCAGTTAAAAACACAGCATTGAGTAAACTTGTTGGGCAAAGGCTTAAATGTAACAAAATACTGATCTATTTTCTGACCCCTGCCTAATATCATACTCAGAGGTCCTAGAGTGCCTTTAAACAAGGAGCGTGTTTTGTGCACACTTAAGTACATTAACATTTATTTGGAATTATGTTTTTGGTACCACGTGGTAAGTTTTAAGTCCAAACTTTACTCTCCTTCAGTTCCGTATTTGGTCTCTACCAACTCCTGATGGAAATATATAGCTCTTCAGCTGCTAAATGCTCCACTATGCTAGCCTCTTACAGTGTCAGTCTGATGTACTGTACTGGGCAGTTAGCGTACAGCGGGGTTTTTTTGCCTGTTGCAGCTGAAATTGATGCTATAAAGTTGTGGGCCAGACAAACAAACAATGACTAAACAATGAGCTGAAACTCAAAGATCTGTAGAGCCAATTGTCATTACCGCTGTATCACATAGTCACATTGTATACATATATATAAATTATAGCCACTTTAATTTCTCTTCGCTTTAATCCTCTCTAAATTATTGATGTCTCTCCAGAAACTGGATATTATTTGCTGATAGTAGTAGATAGTAAAGCATATTTATAGTGCATCTTCGTCCCATCTTTATTTAGCTTTGTTCATAGTTTTTCCAAAGACATTGAATAAGTGTAAGTGGATCGTTAATCAACTTCCCTCTAAATTTAAAATTGTGTAAACAGTTTCTAATATTGAGATATGTTAAAAAGAATGTAAGTGTGGTAGTCCATATTTACTACAGTCCCTTAAAGCCAACTTTTAAATCAGTTGAAAATGTTTTTAAAGAGCATATTTAAATTCTTTTGAGACCTGTTTTGAAAGACCTGCGATGGATTGGCGACCTGTCCACGGTGTACCCCACCTTTCGCTTGATGTCAGCTGGGATTGCCTCCAGCCCCCTGCAACTGTGGGC